CTGGTCCCACCAAATACAGAGCATGACCTTGGACCTTGATCAAAATCACCGTTCTTGAAGCGTTGAAACCACTCATGACACATTCTTTCACTAATAGCGGCCTCACCATAAGTATTTGAGAGCATTCGATGAGCTTCAGCCGCAGATTTCTTTATATTGAAGCAAAAAATTAAAACCTCCCGCAAATGACGAGAATTTGGCTCGGAAACTGACATTTTTAATCGAGAATAACTTTATGATGCAGATACAAATCGACTAATGTTTCTATGGGATTATGTTGACAGATGCCCAAGTTTATTGTATGACGTCTATAATCTATTTATTTCGACCACCACTTACCGCTAAAGCCATCTATAGGAAAACGGCGGAAGCAAAGTTGTATACCTAATATAAAAACCAACATCAGTTGTTTGTATGTACAATAAAGTCTTTATTGTACATATTCAAAAACAATTAATTTAATTTAATTGCTTCTGGAATATAATAAATTAATTTAATTGTATTTGAATAGTCTGTAATAAAGACTTTATATGTAAATATTATACACAAACAACTGGTGCCAATTCTTATAATTTATATTTATTTGTTTTATTTTCTCTATGAGCCTTTTCCTCCTTATTCTAATCTTATCAGTTGTTTAAATAGTAATTAAATCTTTGTTATAATAAACATTTTTCTCAGAATTTTTCACATAATATTTATTCACATCATTTATGTAAATTTCAAAACTCTTCAGAATTTCTGAATTTTACAATTTTTTTAGAAAATTTCTTAGATTTTTTAAATACAAATTGGAATTTATATTTAAACAATTAAGAAATTGTATTTAAAAAATTTAATTACTTTTTAGAAGCTTTGAAAAACATTTACGTCTTTTCTAGAATTCTTCATATGTGTTATATTCTAAAATATTCCAAGATTTTTCTCATTTTATAATTTCTGATAAAATCTTACAAAATCTGAAAAAAATTTAAAGCATTTTTTTTTATTATAGAATGTGAGAATCGTTAGAAATCTTAGAATATTTCAGAATTTGTATATGAAAAGAAAGATATAGACTTTCTCAGTATTTCTAAAAAGTGTTCCAATTCATATAAAAAATGTAGGAAAAATTTTCATCAACGATGATAATCTATATAAATGATAATTGTTGTAAAGTATAATATTTTATAATATATTAAAGTATAATATAAGCAAACAATGTTGAGATAAAAAATTTAATGAAAAACATAATTACTTAATTACATGCAAATTTTTTCATTTAACATATAGAGTAAGGTGCAAAGAACCATCGAGAATGCTGTAAGAAATGATGGCAGTATCCAACGAATGCCATCAAGGAAGAACGTAATTTTACTCTTAATAAATCCTTTACATAAGAATAAAAATGTTTCTGTAAATAATAAAGATGAGAATGACAACTCCAGTATAGCTAATAATGAAAGAGGTACATGAGATTGTTGTTGAATAGTATAAATATAGACAGATGAAATTAAAATTTATCGCTGTTGACACATGCAAAAAAAATTAATTCTTTATGTAACTAAATTAATGTAATAATATGTATATGTATTTATG